AAAATAAATTCAATTCAAATCACGCAGTTGGACGTGTGTTTTGCTAACGAAAAATTGTTGTGGTTTTATGAAACTGCCATGCATGTGAATTAAATAATAAAACATTTAAATAATAAATTTAAAAAATGTCCGGGCCCCCAAACCTGGCCTCCCGCGTGGCAAACAGTCGTTCTTCTAATGAACCACCGATGCTTATTGATAACGCCTGATTTTTTTAATAAAAATTAAAACTGTAATGCGACATGCTTAAGAAAAAAAAAAAATATGCGTCGTAATAAATTGTACATTCAAAATAAAGAATTTGTTTTCCTTCCTTCCTTGGTACCTATGTAAAAACATAGGTACCAAATTCATATCGCCGCTTCTGAAAGAAAGTTTTGCGGTGTAAATCTATTTTTACTGCATAAATAATCAAACTGAATGAACACGACACGATTATTTGCAACCGTGTCTATCGTATTAATATATTGAAAAATCATATCGACAATGGTAATGCAAAATCGCTTATACGCCACTTCGGTGTTGCTTAAAAATGAACTCAATTTCAGTTTTTACTCAATGTTAATTTTTAAGCAGCACCAAAGTGGCGTATATAAGCTATTTTGCTTTTCCACTGTCGAATGGTAACAATATTGATAAAGGCGCGAAACCACGTGACCTTTGACTTGATGTTATTATTCATATTACATAAGAAGTACCACGTGACGTGACAAACAAACACCAATGTTGAAAGTATATCCCGAAAACCTCTCTATATTGCACAATACAAATGAAAATAATATTATCTACATCTAGTTATTACTTTATTCATGTGATGGACCCAAAAGGGAATTACGATGCCTCCACCAGTCAAGCTCTTTAATTACCTATCTAGTAAGATACAAAATCCTAGATCCATTTGGACAGTCTTTTAGACTAAAACCAGGTCGGTATAATACTAGCAGTTAAGTCGACGTGAGACATTGATTTTACATCATAATGGTGGATTTTAAAGATTCAGAAGACACGGGCGACTCTCACTAACTCTCTAATCGCAATTAAAATCTTATTTAAACATAAAATTCTGTCAGCCTTAAGACTCAAAAACGTCTTTCACCAAGTAGTTAATCACGATTAAGCTAGCTGTCTGCTACTGCTGTGTAGTGGGGCTGATTAGCGACGCTAACCGCGAGAAACTGTCACCGGGCTATATTGAAGTTTCATTTTATTGTTGCGACAATCCTTCGTTGCCGAGGACTTTTCAAGTAGATATTGAAGCCCTCATCATCATCATCGGCGAATAAAACTACAAAGTCTTTAAATTCATGACAACCCTGCACTTTTATAAACGAAAAATATCAAAATGTTTGGAATTATTTTCGCCAAACTGTCAAAATGAAACTTCAAACTGCCCGGGTGACAGATCCTAATCGTGGTTAGCGCTCTGCATAAGTATCATAGGTTAGCGTCGCTAATCAACCCCATTACAGAACAGCAGCAGACAGCTAGCTTAAACGTGATTAAATAATTTTATGTTTAAATAAGAATTTAATTGTGATGAGGGAGTTGGTGAAAGTCGCCCTAAGTAATGGGATTTTCCAAACTCTCGAATGATATTAAAAGTGTTGTTCAAATTGAATAGCATTGCAGATTATAGTTTTATTCCCATTTGTCTTAATTAAATAATAATTGATGGACGATTTGTGTCTGGTCTCACATAAGTAGTTGTTATCCGTTCCACATGGTTCACAATCTTTATAATTAGGCAACATAATCTTTACCACGGATTTATTTTAAGTTGTTGTTATTTTGTCCACTTTCATAAGTTAATAAATTAACTTTACGTCCTTAAAAGCATCGACACCAACTAGTAGTCAAAGTATAACGGACTCTTTCCATATTTATTATTACTTCCATCGCCAGCGGCAGGGGTGAATTAAGAACCGGCGGCGGTGTGGTTGATTCCCAGTAAGGATCTCATACCGCCGCCTCTGGCAAGGAGGGCACATCCCGGAGTTTTAGTGGGTAGAGTCCTGAGCAGCCACGAAGCCAGCCCTTGGGTTGGCTGACAGGGTGGGCGGGAGGTGGGGGCGAGGAGTCTCACATAACACCGTCGCTTACCCTGCGGCGGGATATGCATAACGCATTTCTCCGGGTCAAAAAAAAAGGGGTGAAGTAAGAAGTGCTATGCTCGCCTCTTTTCTCCCTAGTGAGACTAGCGTGGTAGTCTGAGGTGGTCCGCCTTGCACAGTCTCACCTGTCTGGCGGGGATACCCCGGTACTCCCGGGCATCCCCCGACCGTATGGAGAAGGAGGAACCTCTGCCGAGGGTAACCGTTGAGAATCTTTGGATCCCACGTAACCTATTCCGGTAGACAAGGGAGCACTCTTGGATTTTTAGTGGGTATTTCCCCACCCTGTCCCGAAAATCTATTGAACTAGTCCCATGGCCTAGCTGAATGGGTGGACAGAATTTGGGGGGGAAGAGTCCCTCATATATAACCTTCTCTCTTATCCGTAGTCGAGGTATGCGACACGCATTTCCCTAGCATAAAAAAATCACAGATCTCGTGCTCTACACGACTGATACTGACGATGAAAGGGCATTGAAAATGAATCTACCTATTATAGATTATTCAAAAAAATTAAAGATAAAAAAAATTGTGTGTGTCAGCTCCGACGCACGACTGGAGTTTACACCTTAAGTTCGATAGTCTAACCAGACGCAAAAAGAGTTTATTTAACTTAAAAAAGATTGATACTGTATGAAAGGGTAAATTAACAAATTAATGAAAATAATATACATACATAAATATATATTTAATCATTTCATATACTTACATTTATTATAACTAATCGACGAAATATTTTACATTAAACTTTTTACAATAGTCAATTTCAGATGTGCATAAATATATCATTAGGAATGTTGATAAATTATGTAATTATTATTATCAGACTATTATATTTTTTTAAATATTAATTAAATCAAAATTGTCTGCATTATTAATTACAGTGACAAGTGGTTTATGGTAACTAAAATAAGACACATGGACGTTCGTAGATACGTGGTTCACCAATCTTGAAAATACCGCATCAATGGTTGTACCATACCTCGTTGTCCCCATTGCTCTATCAGAAACAATATCTAAATTCAGTTCAGATTTTAAAAATTTTATTAATGTCAATCCGTCATCTTTGTTTGTCAAAGTTGCGCGACATAGGATGCGCACCAAAAACGTAACGAGGTCATTCCTCGATAGATTTTACTCCTCACATTTTTCTCATACCGGGCCCCTTATATATGCAAATCGATTCTTAAGGAGTAAACTCCAATAAAAATCGTTAAATTTTAAATTTACCTTTTAAACACAAACATTTTTTTTTCAAAACCATCCATTCAATATATTTTTACATTATCTAAAAGCCCTTCGAATTCCACGACTCTTGAGCTCTCATACGTCCTCGTGGCCGCACGCGAGCCGCCCGCTGCGTGATATCTCATCTCGCGCCGTGCAAAACTCGCTGCTGAGGGCACCTCTACAGCCCCAACCGTCACCAATATCGAAAAAAGTATAATGACTTAAAATTCTCCTTGGTTCAATACTAATGTGCTTTTTCATATTCTTGAAATTCGGCCCCGTTCTCGAGATATCGGTAATTTTCTGTGACAACACACGATTTTTCGGTCCAAAAAAAACTCTGTTTTTCCGATGTCCAAAAATTTTTGACTTTTTCAAAATATTTTTTACATCTTTTTAAAGTCCTTCAAATTCTGAGCCGAATTTTGAGCCCTCATACGTCCTCATAGCCCTAAAGCTCGGGGTATCACGGGCGAGTCGCACTATCAGCGAAAATGGGGGCCTAATGGAGCGAATGAAAAACACATTTTCAATGTTAAAAGCCGTTCTCTTGAGCAGAATGGTACTCAGTTCATCATATTGTGTAATAGAAGATATATTTTAATTCAACCGTATCGGTTCTGCTGGGAATAGATATGATACTGAAGAATGTAGTAAAATATCACTTATAACTTGTATTCACACTTCCTTAACGTTTTCGTTTCAAAATAATAAATATGCTGTACAAAGTAATAAGTAACATATACTTAGTAGTTAGTTTTAAAGAAAATTTTAAAAGCAACATTATTTCAAAATATTATTATTACATTTGGTTGAAAGTGTTTCATCATAATATGATCAATAATTTATAATCTTGACTTCGCAATGGAAAGAAAACAGATGATAAGTCGGATTTATTTCAAGATATGGTTATTAATAACATATTTCAATTTATATTACTTGTTACTAACTTGGTGAAAGAGGGCAAGGTGAAATAAGTCTTCTTTAGTTTTGACCAACTCGATGTACTTACATTTGACGCTTTTCATGCCTGGAAAATGCGTGACCGCAACCCTCGCCCACCCGGAAATAAGGTGAACAAGGCTCTAAGGAATCCTCTCTGTCCTTTAATCCAGCTCGGCCCTACGCGAAAATTTTAATTCCATAATACTCGTCTAAGTCTCACCTAAATGAGGTAGTGAACATATAACAACTGTTTTAATGGGTAACTGTTTATTGAAACTATATAAAACAGTTACAGAAAATAAAAGGCATTAAAGGGTATTAAAGAGTTTATAAATCAAAAGAACAATTTTAACTTGATAAATGTTTCTTTAAATTTACTTGTAAGTGCTTGTAGGTACATCTCTATTATATAAAATTCTTGTGTCACGGTGTGCGTAATTGAACTACTCCGAAACGGCTCGACCGATTCCGTGAAATTTTATATGCATATTCATTAGGTCTGAGAATCGGACAACATCTATTTTCCATCCCCCTAAATGTTAAGTGGCCAACCTTAAATATTTTTTTGTTTAATTTTTTTACGATACATCATACAAAAATACATACAATCCTAAATTTTCAGCCTTCTACCACCAACACCTATTTTATTTGGCGGTACGAAGTTCGCTGGGACAGCTAGTAATATATAAATTTACGTTATTTCCTTCTTTTCAGATTGTCATCGCAAGCGTGCGGTAGTGGAATCACATCTGAATCTAGTGTACACCACACACGTTTTTTTACACAAATTACAAAATGGTCAATGTGAGTATGAACTGAATAGAAGTACAATCGATTATGTATTTTTTAAACTTTATAGTCAAATTTAAACATAGTAGCCTCAAATTTATATTTTATAGAAACAAAATATATAAGATTAAGTCTTCCTTAGATAATGATATAAGAAAATCTTTGTATATGAAAATTCTTCAGTTTGTTTTTAGGAATTTAGATTAAAAATATGTCTAACCGATTATTAGATGAGTTTTTCTACATATATGCATGAAAATATTATGATGTCTAATTCTTTTCAAGAATAAAAACTGCTCCAAAACTACGATACTTAATAATGCTGTCATTGAAAATTAATATAAGTGGAAATTATATTACAATATAATGAATAGAATAGTACTGGGAGTAGAATAGTAGTAACCCCTTCGTTATTGGGGCAAATACACTATCAAATAGTATTATCATTCAGTACCTTCTAGTCTGCGAGGCTAATTTAATGTAGTAAACTCTAAACAAAATTACCAAGATATTTTTTATTACATTTAAATAAACTAAATTTCGCGTCGCCTTTTGATGAGCCTTTTGGTGGTTAATATTTTAAAAGACAGAGACAAAGAATTCCGTTAATAATGTTTTTTTTATTATTTTCTAAGTAAGATGAATGGCAAACAGGCACATGGCCTGCCTGATGGTAAGCGCCCACCATACATCTATACCTATAAACGGTTACGATAGCAAAAATTTCACTCGCTTCGTTGCCTACCCCGACCGAATCTCCTACCCCGTGAAGCCCTGGAATCTTACTTACCTACAGAAGAAGTAATTTTAATGTGGTCTTCTGTAAGGTGGAGGTTACTTCGGCTAAACTGTATTTCCAGGGCCCAAGTGGTGATACTTCACACTAGGTTAGGTTAGTGTTGTGACCATAACACCAGATTTTTTTTTTTAAGAGAATCCTTTTCTACAAAAAAGTTCGAGTATCACCACTTGGGCCCTGGAAGTACTGTTTTACCGTTACTTCCCCAGACTTGCGCTCCAATTCTCTTCTGCTCTTAATTTAACTTAATTGCATTTTTTTTATTTCTAAATAGGAAAATGGCAGCGTTCCGGCTCCACAGGAACTGGAGACATTCCTGTCTCCAGAGGAGAAGAGCAAAGAAAAAATTGTCAAGACGTAAGTACCTAGTTACTTTTTTTTTTGAGCTTTTTAAAATTAACCTTCTGTTCGTACTATAATGTATTCTGTGCTTCTGTTCTGTTCAATTAAGAATATCTAAGTACAAAAGAGAACTGGAGAACTGATTATTATTTTGAATAGGCACATTTCTATAAATTCTATTTAGTTTCTGCTATTATAACCACGGAACATTTAATAAAAATTACTATCTTTTTCGATAAAATTCGAAAGATTTAAGTTTTAAATGTCATTGACTTGCGCACAAAGAAAATTATATACACCCTCACTCTCTCTGTCTTACACATAATTGTAAAAATAATGACTTGGGAAATGAGGGTATTATTGAATAAAACTATTAAAAAAAGATGTTTCACCAGCATCAACAATTGCACTTAATATTATCTGTTAATGATGAATATAATACTCATGCCTATTTTGCAACAGGCCTTTACTTTGTGAAATTTTCATTTTCATTCAGTAGAAGTGATAAGTGTTTTTTATTACCAACCAGGTACAACATGACAAAAGATGTCGAGTCGGCTGAATTCGATCCTTTCACAGAGAAGAAACTGGAGAATCCCACATCGTAAGTATACTGTTTCTTTTTTAATTGCAATTAAGCATGAGTTTTGTTGTAAACTTATTCTACGGAGAACACCTTCGTTAAGTTTTAACAAACTTTTAGTAATTAGTGTTTATGCAAGCTTGCGAAATTTCACATTGTTACTTTGTTTAATTACACCTGTGTATCAGGGCCGTAGCTAGGGGTGATACATTATACGGCAATATAATACCATCGCCGTGACGTTACCAAGACGTGACGTCATGCGACATTTCAAATCAAATTTCTATAATGGTTTATGTGAGAAAAGAAAAAATATGTGTCCAATACTTTTTGATAAATCTATCTCATGGACGAATAAGAAAAAAGGATAGTCATCATCCCTAATATGCCTATTCTACGCTTAAGCCATTCTCACCTTATAGTGTGCCAAAGCGATATCTTTTTCACTTTTGTGCCAGTTTCATTGAATGCTGATTGATTAAGTCTATAAATATCATTGGTTTGACGACCTGCGTAGCGCGAATGGAATGTACGCCTGGTTTAAGGTGTCGCCTACTCGAGAGGACCCGATCTCAGGTGGATTACCCCAATGAGATGCTGTGATATAAAAAATATGAATCGTACTAATATTTTGAATATGCATTTGTACCTTAAACATGGATTTTTGTATATATCTCTAGATTAATCATCATCATCATCAGCCTATTAATGTCCCCACTGCTGGGGCACAGGCCTTTCCTATGAGTGGAATAGGGAGATTGGGCCATGACCCACCACTCGGGCCCAGTGCCGATTGGTGGGTGCTAACGACTGCAGATACACCACTTGGACCAACAGCTTAACGTGCCTTCCGGAGCACGGAGGAGTTCGAGATAGTAATTTTTGGTCACCCATCCAATGACCGACCACTGCGAAAGTTGCTTAAGTTCAACGATCGCAGCCGAACGCGCTAACCACTTGCGCCATCGAGCTCTCTAGATTAATATGCTTATATATGTATCAGTATAATATTTATTATATCTTTTACCCTAGTATCCCATAACACAAGCTTTAGGGCGCGTTCCCATTATGTCGTGACGACCGATTATCGTGTCCTTTTAAGCGTCTTGGGTTGTCCATTTCATTGGAGGTTCACATATAGGACGATACATACGATTAACTGTCGTCCACAACTTTTTTAGCAGTGACGACAGTATAACAATTCAATGTGAACGGCTTTAGCGACGTAAAACGTTATAAAAACCGTAACCGTATCATGACGGCAAATCGTGTGTTGTTATTGCGACTATCCATTGTGGCCACGATATAAATATTAGAAAAAAACGTAGAGGAGACTGATGTGCAAACGACAAGGCGACTGCCGTAACCCGTAAAAATGTCGTCACGATCCAATGGGAACTGCTCCACACGACAGTTGTTCAACGATAAAACATTTTGATGACACAGTAACGATATACAGTCGATATATGGAAGCAGCTAGAGACGACAGTCGTCCAACGATAAATTTACCGTCCCGACTTAGTGGGAATGCGCTATAACAGTGCTTACTTTGGGGCTAGGCTAATTGGTGTAAGTGTTAGAAATATTAATTTATTTTATTTTTCATCTTTACAGGAACATGGATACCTTAACTCATTTGCTGAAAGCTTCTCTTGGTACGGGTATTTTGGCAATGCCGCTCGCCTTCAAAAATGCTGGCCTCGTCTTCGGCATATTCTTCACAATTCTCGTCGCAGTCATTTGCACCCACTGCTCTTACATTCTTGTAAGTATATATCAACACAATATCAATATAAACATCAATTTATTGCTGTATATAATTAACTGTGTGAATAAATTGATTGTAAACAATCGTGTTCACCCGATTGAACTATTTAATCGACTTGTACATAACAGATATGAATGTCAAGGTGTGCCAAGCGCAAAGTTGCATTGCGAATTTGCAATCAATTGATAATACATATAATGAACCCCAGCCAATTAGCAAAAATATTCTTATGCACTGAGTGTTTATTTTTAATCAGCTTAGCGAATTGTTTGCTGCAACTTGCAATAGAATTTTCATTACACTATTGTTTTTTCATACCTATTTATTATACCCATAGTAGCCACAGCTCAAAAACGCCACATTTTGCATTGTTTAGGTCTTATGATGTTGTTGTTGAAGGTGGCGGCCCCAGGGTTCAAAAGTTTCTAAAGTTATTACTGTAAACATTACAATATAAATTACAATATAAGATTTTTCTTTCGCTACAACAGACAACCAGTAATTATTAAAGCCTTATTCCAAACAAAGTCATATTATGGAAATATTTGTAACAATAATTATGTTAAACAACAAGACTCGACAGAATATTGGAAATAATTTGTTAACTTGACGAGCAATAAAATGCGATGTTGCCAAGTTCACCAATTTCCCTTCCCTTATTTTACCAAAACACGTGATCGTTTTTTCATTGCATTCGCGAATAAATAGCTGAGCGACTGTCTCACTAAATACTTATGTTAACTATATATGCAAAAATGTATGGACGCTAAACCCACGTCCGTCACGGCTTATACAACATTTGTTTAAAAGGTATTAAAGTCATGATCATCTGTGCCAAAGCGCACCAAATTTCATCCCGGGGGTCTTTAGTTATTTTAAGTAAAATAGGTACAAGTACTATTACGAACGAACAGTAACGAAACAAGGGAATTCATTTAGTTAGTTAGTTCACAAGGTATAAGGGTGCCCCCCAATATTATTCTGCCGCGCTGGAGTAAATCCATAAATCCCCGCTTGGGTTGGGTTATTTCAAACTGTCTGTTCGTTATAGGATATTGTCTTCTACGACCACAAATCACACAAACTTATCTACGCCTCTGAAAGAACATGATTCCAGTTCATCGTATCGTATCATTGAATTAGTATAATTCACAAACCGATAATCGTGTTCCTATGTCCAAAGCGTGTTAGTTAAAAATCAATCAAGTGACAAGGACCGCACAATCACAACAAAGTAAGACGAAGGACTGCATGCATATGAGTCGACTAGTTGCAACTGCAAGTCTTTCAGCCCCAGTGTCCGTACCCCATAAACCATTTTGAGCTGTCTCAAGTGCAAGCGCAGGATGGGCGGCAGGCTTTGTCGTATGTCTGGTTGAATAATACGATATGGCACATTATAATGGTTAGTAATAATATAAAATGAAGGTATCGTATCTTTCGATTACCAGGATATTTTTTACGGTGTCATTATAAAAAAGACTTATATTTTATAGATCTTTCGATTCATATCATTACATTGTTGGCGGATCTGGGTGTTTTTGTGCCCATTGTCCTTTAGCGTTATCCTCTTTTTCCCACTCTGAGAACCTGAGATAATTCAAACCCAGTTATTTTCCAAAAGAAAATGTTTTTATTTCGTCTTTATAATTATGACCTGTTTTAACGATTTAACGTTCGTGAATAATCGCTTATTCTTTTCATATTATTTATTCGCATTCAGACATTTTGGCAAAAGATAAAAGTATTTTCATCCGGCAAATTATTCAACCTGAAAGTTAATTGTTTATTTTAAGAGTGCTGTACGTGATAATATATAAAGCTTTATTATTATAATAGAGATACTTTGTCAGCGAATTAGTCCATGTGGATTTTATAATGCAAAAAAATACTGAGTTTTTAAACCCCTACAAAATACCCCCGTGGACCAACCACATACATATAATTATTGGAAGAGGAAAGATTTCTCGGAAACACAAAATACCATCGGTCAGTCCAATCCAAACTATCGGATAGTCTAATTTGTAAAAAAACCTGTTAAATAATATCTGTAATGGTTGGCTAAAAACAACATCTTAACAGAGCTCCTTGTAATGAAACGTGCACTAATTTTAAATTGGGTTTGAACATAATGCTATTGACTGTGCCCTTTTTTATATAAATCAATATCATTTTTAGACCAGGCTAACATTAATCAGGCATTGTGACTCGCGTTAAATAGTAATCAAAAAGGATTATATATAACAAAAATAAAGATTATATAAAACAATATCATTTTCAGACCAGGTTAACATTAACCACGCATTAAATAGTAATTAAAAAGGAAAAACGAAAGTCAAACTTTATTAGTTATTTTAGAAGTACGTATATTTTGTCTGCAGGTGAAATGCGCTCACGTACTCTATAAGAAGACCAGAAGAACTACCATGACCTTCCCAGAAGTGGGTGAAGCTGCTGTAGCCAACGGACCTCAAGCCTTACGAAAATTTGCATATTCATTTAAGTAAGTATCTTACAAAATGATAAGAAAATGATGCTTGAATAATATCAAAAATAAAGTATTAACTTTTCCCCTCTTTGTTTCAGAATATTTATACTCGTCAGTCTTTTTCTGACTTACTTCGGAACTTGCTCTGTATATACAGTGATTGTAGCAAAGAACATACTGCAAGTAAGTTTTATTTATGAAATAATATGCCCACTTAGTAAATTGAAAGTATTTTCAGATATCATTACCTACGTTTTCACATTTTGTAACCACTTCCTTATTTTCTGTTTTTTCTTCTTCAGGTCGTTGCGTATTATATGAACACCAAAGAAGAGGATGTTGAAATTAGAATATTCATCATTGCACTCCTTTTACCTCTCATCTTTATGGCGTGGGTTCGCAATCTCAAGTACCTCGCTCCGATATCTATGATTGCTAATGTGTTCATGGGCCTCGGTCTTGGAATAACATTTTACTACCTCGTCGGAACAGGGGGACTGAAGACTGACAACATTAAAAACATGTTGATCAAACCACCCGGTGAATGGGCTGAATTTTTCTCTCTCAGCATATTTGCCATGGAAGCTATTGGTGTCGTGATGCCTCTCGAGAACGCCATGAAAACTCCTCGGTCTATGCTCGGGATCTGCGGTGTCCTGAATAAAGGCATGTCAGGAGTGACCCTAGTATATATTCTTCTTGGTTTCCTTGGGTACCTCCGCTTCGGTGAAGAGGTCAAAGACTCCATCACACTTAATCTTGATGAAACTCAAATGTAAGTGACATACTTTTTAAAGTTTTTAAATAAAAATCTGTAATTTTAGAATATTGTTATCTTTATTCAATAGCCGCTTAACCGTCATATTTTTGTTACAGCCCTGCACAGATTGTGAAAATAGCCATTGCTATAGCTGTTTACTGCACGTATGGTCTACAATTCTTCGTATGCATTGAGATTATGTGGAATGCTATCAAAGAGAAATTTACCAAACGGCCAGACCTCGCTGATTACATCATGAGAACCATCATGGTTACTTTTTGCGTCCTGCTTGCTGTCGCTGTGCCCACCATCGGACCCTTCATGGGTGTGATCGGTGCCTTCTGCTTCTCCATTCTCGGACTCATCGCTCCTGCCTTCATCGAAGTTATCACTTACTGGGACATCGGTTTCGGTACAGGGAAGTTCCTCATCTGGAAGAATGTCATAGTTCTTATCTTCGGGCTATTCGCGCTTATTTTCGGTACCAAGGATGCCGTTATCAAAATTGTACAAATAAACACTGCAAAATAATAATAATAGATAGAGAGATGATAGGTGGCTGAAAAGCGTACCGACATAATAATAATAATAAAATTTATTTGTTGAGTGTATAATCATCCACGTATGTAAGTAACTTTAGTTTGAAACGTCTGTGTTATAAATAGGTAAGGTTGGCAGTTAGCTTACAAGGCTTGCTGAGCTACATGAGTTAAATTATAAGGTTTTTAGACCAATTTTTGCTGTGCTGTAACCTTGCGGGTAGAATGTTCTTGACGTAAATGACGGTGCTATTCGTTGCGTTAGTGTAATAAAATATGTTCACATTAATGTCGAGACATTTACTTTGCGGGGTAGGTGTGAACAGTGATGTCTGGGTGTTTAGGTTAATGAAATTATCGATTGCATTCCCTACCCAGAATTATTGTTATGAGCATGTTAAATTAAAATGAGAATTATTTAAAATTGATACATTCAACATCGTATTCAGGTAGTATAGGATTTATATTTTTTAAATAACTAAATGATAATATTTTGAAAAGAAAGAAGAGACAGATCAATAAATACTTAGTTGACGGTTTGTAGGTAAGGTTTATGACAAATATAGACTAAGCCAAATAATATTATAGATATGCGAAGCAGTTGTCTAAGATTACATTATTATTATAACCACATAAGTGTAATATATTAATCACTATGAAGTATACATGCGCATTTTAATGTGAATAAGAGCCGCTCTTTAAAGGCCTATCATTCTATGGATTTACACTACGCAGGATTGTGACTGCATTTAATATAGGTAAATAAAATATAACATGCTTGTGTGTGCAAATGATCTTTAAAAACGTAGAAGTGGGAAAAACTTTATTTAAAAAAAGTTTAAGATTGGTTTATGATTATTCAGTTTTATTTATTAAAATTATTATTTAAATGTTTGTTTTGTTATGAGCAATTGAGGTATTATATTATAAGTAGTAGGAAGGTACCCCAGTTAGCGTCTAATCAGTGATATTAGGTTCATAATTATGTAAAACTCTAATCAAAACAAAAATGTTTACCGTCTGCACCTACTACCTGCGCATACATATTTTAATATGATAATAATATGTATATTTTTTTTCCTACCATTGTATAAAAAACTAAACAATGTTTTGTGCCCAACCCAATTTTGAATTTACTTAGGTATAGGTACAGTATGAATTGAAGTTTTGCGATAGCGCAGATCTAAAAAGGGTGCTATGAAATTGCATGCCATCAAAATGAAATATGGAAATGGAATCGGCTGTGCCAGGTGATGTTAGTTACAGTGTATATTTCAACCTTTCATAAAATGACAAACTAAGATAAAATTTATTAGCATTTTATTAACAACAATGATGTAGGTCATTTATGTATCGCCTGCTGGCTAGGTAGGTACTACAAGTCGTTACTATTTTGCATTTGTTTATATAACTGTAAAAGTAAAAACAATATAAACAGCTGAACACAACTGCCTTTATAATTAAGGGGATATACTTAGAGAAAAAGAACACTTCAGACACTTGGGGCAAGCTGACTTTTTTTTAAATACTGAATAGACGTTTTGAATTCTGACCCCGTTTATGTGATTTATAGCGGCTCATAGATGTGATGGGGATTTCGTTTAGATATCTACGCAAATCGAATATTTCCTACAAAAATACAGCTTTCCCCTAATTATTGTAAAGTGCAAGTGTCTTTTTCTGTATTTTAAGTCTAGAATACAAGAAAGCCTCAAAACCTTTATAAAATTACTTATTATATAGAGGCAGTGATAAGGTAGGAATCTGTAGCATTTATACATTATATACTTAATAAAAAAAATAAGAAACATTTTTTAATACCTGATTGGTGAGATTGAATTATATTTTATGTAGTCTAGATGTATTTTGAGAATTATACCTTTTTCGTTAAGTATTTTTATTTTAATATTTTACAAATATATTCTTTACAAATAATACCATAATTTTTGCTAGGTTTACTACTTGTAAAATTGATAATTCTGTAATTTTCTTATGACATATAGATAATATTTGTACCACTGAATCAAAACTTTATTATTATAAAGCTTAAAAATCTAAAGTCATTAATACATTTAGTGTTGAAATAATATTAACAGAGAGTGGGTTTTATGTCAGATGTTTTGAGGAATAGGTATAATTTGTCAAATACCTAGTCAGTTAAAGGATTTTAAATGCAGGTCTCAATTTTAATATAATCGGTAAAACATTTCCTTATTTAATAATAATTAGGTAAATTAAATATACAATTTATTTACCAAAAACATAAACTGTATTACGATAACAAAACATTGTCACTGTAATATCTAATGATGGGTCACGTAACAAGTAAACTGTAGCTACATTATATACATGTATTTTTAAATTATTATTATGTAAGTATAATGAAGTACCTACGACTTTTATATGCGAAAGGTATACTTATGAAATCCATATTTTTACTGTTATTTTTAACAAGGTAAAAATACGTTCAAGTATAAGATATATTGAACTGAAATGGCGAGTAAAATACTTAGGAATAACAAGGATCATTTTTTAAAATATCAAAAATACAGCATCGATGCAAGTACCACGAACGTAGAAGTGTCGTACTTTGACCAATGGTATTGAATAAGTAGTGAGATGGAAATAAAAAGATTTTTGATACCTCTATAACACCTTTGCAAATCGTACCATTTTTAAACTACGAGAAATAATAAAGATAAATCATTATTACAAAAAACCACTGCACCTAATACAGAAGGTTACAGCTTACGTGTACATGGATTTACTTTTGATAGCTTATTTTATTATCTACATATCTAATTATACTTACTTAAAATAATGTTTATAAAAGTAATCAAAGCATTCGTGCGTCACGCTATACGCAAGCGCAACGTTAACCAAAATATAAGTTCCTATTTGCTCTTGTTATGATTGCGTAATCCATATTTTTACATTCACACCGAGATACAATTCAACAATAATGATTAATAAGTATTATATTTTTTATGACAAATTTTCTTATAGTTGTCCAGCAAATGGGCCTTAAAGTTTTCACTAAATTGTGAATTAGGTATTACGTACTTATTGGAAAGTAATTGTGCTTAAAATAACATGAATGAATATTTAAGTACCTAAATTTTAAAACAAAAGAAAATAGGTTAGGTTTTTATTTAAAAAATATCCAAACCTACATCTTTTGCGTGCGGTAGGTATTACATTTTGAGAATTCAATTACATGACAACATCAATGAAAATTTGTCATAAACACTATTTCTTTTGGATAATTATATAATTATGTTATATGGATATTAATTAATGTAAACTGTGTTAAAGAAATATAAAATAATTTACTATGCGGGCCAACTAAGTGTAAATGCTACGATGCCTATCATAGGTACCACATATCTCACATACAACTTTCTTGGTTTATTTACAAAAGAAATGTAAAGAACTGTCTCAATAGAACCTTAATTAGCCCACAAAGTACGAACTCAGAACAAAGTGGTTTAATTTTTTCATACATAAACATTCTTCTTCGTTCAGATAACTTCACCTATATCTATTACTAGCTGACCCAGCGAACTTCGTATCGCCATAAAAATATGGGTGGTAGAGGGGTGAAAATTAAGGGTTGTTTGTGTTTTTAATATTACGATACATATTTAACGTAGTTTTTTTCTTCAGACGATTTAATAATTATTTTGAATATGTTCTCGCGGACTTTTTTGTAGGTCTTAATCGGAGGATCTTATAGGGATCTACAAACCCGTAGTACATCATTTTGTTCTATTGTCAATAGTTTTTACAGCGCACGCAAAAATAGGTTTTCGATTTTACACCTTGTGTTACAAAATAGCAATTTTATTACGGATCCCTAATTTTTCAAAAATATCCTTCCTCGATAAATGGACTACCCAACACTGAAAGAATCATTCAAATCGGACCAGTAGTTCCAGAGATTAGCGCGTTCAAACAAACAAACAAACTCTGCAGCTTTATAATATTAGTATAGATAAAATGTTAAAATACTTAATGCTGTTTATTATACCTACAATGGAATCTATTATCATCCCTAAACAATATAAAAATATAGAAGTACCTAGATATAGGTAGCTATATATTCTGTACAGCTGATCGAAATGTTCGCATATTTTCCTGTGTTAAAAGATAAATAATAAGAAGTTATAAAATATAAATAATATAATAATAAATAAATATTTCCAACACACACACCAATTAGTCTAGCCCCAAAGTAAGCACTATAAGGCTTGTGTTATAGGATACTAGGGTAACGGATAGAATACATATATTGAACATATGTATATTAATATATAAATACATATTAAACATCCATGACTGGAGTACAAATGCACGTATTCATCACAAAAATATCTGCCCCCACCGGGATTCGAACCCGGGACCTCTCGAGTCGGCGACACCAGGAAACCCAGCGTACAATCCACTCGGCCATGGAGGTCGTCAAAAATTATTATTATATTACCTTTCTTCTTAATTTGATCGTATTTTATGACCCAGGGTACAGAGAAAAAAAATATGTTTCCACTGTTCCCTCAAGGGAACAGCCAAGGGTACACAGGAAAATTAGTGGAAATGTTTTGTGCATTCGCATTCGTGTGGGTTCCTGGCAGATTGATACTATATTATAGTTAAGAAAGTATAAACAAATAAAGATTGGTAAAGAGATATTTTATATCACATATACAACGGTATTTAATATCGTTGCACATATAGCATATTCTTTAGCTTTGAAGAGGATGATGCAAGTTGTTCGAGTTAGACTAGCCCCCGAGTATAATAGAATAGGATGGAGTGGCCACGATGGCTTTTTTCCCGACTCTGCAATGCAAGAGCGCGTAGCCATAATATTACCGTGCGTAGCGCGACACGCAAACACCGTATAGTATTTAACAGTCTATATATGTATGTATGTATGTTCCTTTGTGGTTCACTAGAGACCAAACGCCTGCCCTGCACCGATTTTAATGATTCATACGTCAATCGATTCGTCTTAACCATGGAAGTTCTACTAAAGACACAATATTAATTAATTGAAATTGTTTTTTTTTACACACACTAATTAGCCTAGCCCCAAAGTAAGCACTTTGTTATATTTTGCAGAATAGCTCCGCTGGACTTGTTTTTTACCCGACTGCGCAATGCAAGAGCGTCGCGCAGACAGGGTATAGTTTACCCGACTGCGCAATGCAAGAGCGTCGCGCAGACAGGGTATAGTGTTTAACAGTCTATATATGTATGTTTGTTCCTTTGTGGCACACTAGAGACCAAACACGTGGACCGATTTTGATGATTCATACGTCTATCGATTCATCTTAATCATGGGAGTGCTACTAAAGATATGATAGTAATCAAAATTCAATATGGGAACAATAAGGCGCCATATTGTGACGAAGTAAAAAAAATAAGTTGACAAAATATGTCGAGTGGAGTATCATTGTGTAGATAATCGAAAATCATGTTTAGGTTTCTTACACCATTTTTCATTTTATATGACTGTTTAGGATCTACAACGATTTAAACTTATATATCAATCACTTACACTTTAAATTTTATTCTTACGTTTGTATGGATTTTTAAAAGAGCACTATTTACCTCATCCGAACAATTGCTTCTTCTGTCAACTTTAAAAAAAAAGTATCGACAGCAAATATTCGTGTTTCACACAAGGTAAGGTAAGGTAAGGTAAGGTAAGGTAAGGTAAGGTAAGGTAAGGTAAGGTAAGGTAAGGTAAGGTAAGGTAAGGTAGGTTGATATGAGATTAGCTTAAGAAGATGCTAATATACCGCGGGCGCTTACGGACTGCGCCTTTGGTA